AAAAATTAGATCATTTAGAACATAATTTCAAAAAACTACAGAAAAAAATTTTTTAGCCCATAGCCACCTTTTGCTATAGGGCCCCTCATATAATAATATTCTTTTTAAAGTTAATATTTAATATAGGTAGGAATATATAAATATTATAAGATTATTTAATATTAAAATAAGAGAATTTATATTTTTTGCAGGTTGCGATATCACGGATATAATGACGTATACATGTTCTGCAGTACCAGATTCAGTAGTCGGAGTATATATTGTTAACCCAATTAGTAATGTAAAACAAATTATATAATTGCTATATAAAACATGCATATATATTGAAATAAATAAATAAAGCGTAATTGAATAAATAATTAGGCTTTCTTATGCTTAGAATAGTAAATAATTAAAGTGTTTATAGCAAGTCATTTGTGAATGCAATACAAACTAGACATTTATATTACTGTATAACAAAAAAAAACATTGTGAACAAAAAAACTAAGCGCAAAGTAAAACTTACTACGTGTCAGCAATAACAGCATTATCTTTTAACTTCGACATAGGCAACAACCTAAAAAAGAAATCAGCCGATCTTGAAATTGTAATTTTTTTTTTTTTTTTGAATAGTGTTAGTGAAGTGCATAAGAAATTAACACATTCTTAGTTATTAGGTGTATAAAGTAAAACATATTATAAAAAGTGCTGTATCAGGTGATTACTTTAATTTCGACACATAGAGAAACAACTTAAAAGAGTAATTGAGCAGCCTTGAAGTTTGTAGAAGCCTTTTTTTTTCTTTGAGCCTTGTGAGAAAGTAGTGTTAGTGAAGAACGAGAGAACAGTAACTTTCAAGTGAGTACAAGTAAAACTTATTATATATGATGTATTAAATTAGGTGATCATAGTAATTATACTTTAATTTCACATATAGGGTAACAAGGAATTGACCGGCCTTGAAGTTTGTAAAAACTTTTTTTTTATTTGGGCCTTGTGTAAAGTAGTGTTAATAAAACGTGAAAGAAATCATAAACTACCAATACTACCAAGTAAGTGCAAAATAGACTTACTGTGCAATAAATACTTAATCAGGTGATTAGAAATTAATTTTACTTCGGTGTAGAGCAACAACCTGAGAGAAGAATTAGCTAGTCTTAAAATTTCTAAAAGTACTTTTTTTTTTTGAGCAATTATCCATCAGCAAAACAAAAAAGAACTAAAAAAATACTAGTCTTGAAATTTGAAAGAATAGTTTTTTGTGTTATACGATAAGATCAATAAGTGTCAATAAGTATGTAACAGATATATAAGTAGTACAGTCTAATGTAATATCATACTTCTTTATAGTTTCATGTCATGGAAAACAATGTTGCTATAAATTTTTCAGATCTTGATCTGGACAATAATATCTTTAATTATACAAGCTTTAATGATATGGTATTAATATCTTTAATAATCTAGACACAAATATCTTCAATAATCTGGATATTAATATCTATAATGAAGAACAAAATAGTAAATTCTACCTATTATTTACTTATAAAACATGGTTTATGTGCCCTCTTATAATTCTAAGTTATTTACTATTTATTTACTATATAGCATTCATAGTAACTTATGATATATCAACTATTTCTACCAACACAATTGACAAGCAGTTTAATAGTATTATATTTGAGAAATCTATCACTTAATTGGTAGAGATTTGCAGGCAAATTTGCCTGCATAATTACTATAAATATGTCTCTGATTTACTTTTTTAATTA